AGGGAGAAAGGAGGAGAAGGGAGAAAGGAGGAGAAGGGAGAAAGGAGAAAAGGCTTTTTAAAGAACAGTATCATTGCTCCAAAATTTAGGAATAAGGGCAAAAGTTCAGACTGCAGAAAATCCACAGCTAATAAGTATATGCATACAGGAGGTACTGCATTGGACATTAAAAGTTTTGAATGGCATGCCATATGACCAATTCCCCCCAAAATAAGATCCTAAAATGAAAATGTAAACCAATTTCTACAGTAAAGGTTATTTTAAAACAATATGCATTTATGAAATAAGATATACTCTTACTCAAATCTACTTCCTCACTTTGTACAGAATTTGTGCTAAAAGTAAGTTTGAAGAGACCAATTCTAGGTTAGTGTACAAGAAACATGGTTTCAATCCAAAGCTTACTTACAGTGACTGAAACAAGCTAGTCTACACCGGTATGTCACACTAACATTTCTCTGAACAAATGCATTATTTTCAGATGTTGCCAAGGCAATGTTTTATATCAGCAATTCTACACTTTGATTTAAACAAAACCAGCAATAACATAGAAGTGACAAATCCAGCCGTGATGAGATGCTACCACAATTCTGCATAGGTGGCAGCTTGAAAATCCACCTCTTTCATTTTACTAAAATTTCTTGGATTACAAAGACTTTTGGATTTACAGATTCCCTACCACATCCCACACCCCATTTTCAAACACTGTAAAACGTCAAGATTTTGCTTAACAGAACAAGATCCTGAAATATAGCCAAACACAACCAGTCTGTCCTTAAGGACAAGACCACAGAAAGAACAGAATACTAAACTACTGTAGAAGGAATGACAAAAAGTTTTGTCTTGAAATTAATACCCTAGCTATCAAATCAATACAAGACGATTATTCTAGTTTTTGAAAAGGAAAGGAGCTAGTTAAATCTGTTAGCAAGGACTTCCAAAACCATACTTTGCAACTCACAAACAATCCTCTCAAACCCACAAGAGGTACATGCCACCCATCTTGACCCACAAAGAACCAAGCAAAACAGGACTCTGGAATAGCCCATTAAAATGGGACCAAGCAACAGAACTGAAAACACGCTCCTCCTGCAGTTTTAGGCTCCATTTCAGCCAGCGTAGCTGCATGATGTCACCCCGTCATCCATTCTTACCTGCTTCCTCAGCATCTCTTTGCCAGTTGCTTTTCAGGCAGCTCAGTAAGCTGACCCAGCTACCTACAGCTGATCTTTCTTGCAGAATTAGTTGTCAGCCACACAAGCAGACCTCACTCACACCACCACAGCCACACATCGACTGGAGGTAACATAAGGGAAGCAGCGAGAGCTCACAGCCAGTGACTAGAGCAGCAGCAATTCTTTTGGCAGCAGCCTGGTCTTGGAGCAATTCGAGCTGACCACTGGGCTCAACTGTATCCTCAATATATAGTTTCATAATGCTGCCAGGTTTCCTTTCTGTTGCACCAGCACTGAAATTCATATGACCAAAGCAGTCTATGGAGCATAAATAGCCCCAAGTGACTAATTTTCTGCAGGGTAGACTCCTTAACCAGATCATCGCATGAACAGACCAACATCAGTGCCAGCACAAGGAGGAAAAAAGCAAGAGCAGAGTTCTCCATCTACCTTCTCTCTCCACACCAAACTTCTACATCAGAAAGCCATGATGTAAAACCACATGCTCAGTCTTGTGACTGAAGGCATCTCATTTATAAACTGACACCATTGATTCCAATGTAAGGGACATGAACAAGGCTGTGAAGGTTGGAGTGAACACCCAAGAACTGGCAATAAATAGCAAAGATGAAGAACCAGTCCACCAAATGGGGTATTCTATATGCAAATCTAGGAATCAACACAAAGTTGTGGAGCCCCAAAAGTTTTGACATAGATCTGGGTCTACCAGGACAAAAATACTGAGGTAAAGAGATGATATTAGAACACCTGTAAAATGATAAGAATACACATTCCTTTCTGCCATGCAAGACAAACACTAGCTTGGACACGCAGGACATCTGAGGGCAGGAACAAACTGCAAGACACTCTAACTCTAATAGCTTGTTCAACTACTGACAGGGTAGCAGCTTTTTCCAGCAGTGCAGTGATTGTCTACTGCCCTATCCTTCTCCTGGTTGCTGCTCCTCCCTCCTGTTAGAGTCACTGAGTCACAGAATATTCTGAGTTGGGAGATCTGACTTTTAAGCCATGATGAATCACCTCTACTCGTCACACTCTGGAGATGGAGAGCTCTTGTAGCAGATAGGACTCAGACATCAGGAGCACTGTATTTTTCAAGAAAATATATTTGTGAAAAACAATAGTAAGTTACAAATTTATAGCTCAAGCACTTTTGCTGGTAGGATAAGTATCCTGGGGAAGGGAGCAGAGGGACCAAAGCCTATGGGAAACAGGTTTTCCAGAGATGAGAACAGATACAAGGGAAGAGTTTTGGAGAAACAGACCAGCCAGTCACAGATAAAGAACATGAAACTGGGTCTTTTTGGTGAAGTACAGTACAGAGAAGAACAGCATGTAAGCGTTGATTGGGTAGCAGCAACTGCAGAACTATAGGTAGTTCTCCGCCTTCTGCTTTCTGTATCTACACACATTCTTCCACACCTCTGCATCTAAAAGCAGACACTTTGGAAGGAGACCAGATTCTTCAGTCTCTGCACAACAAGCTCCTCCCCTCAACAATAAAAACCTTTGCCCCACTGAGTTTATCCCTCATGTCCCATTCCCCTTCTCTCATTACAGCCTTTCTCCCTTTCTGCTTCAATGGTAGTCTTCTAACACACATGAAAAACCTTTGGAAAAAATCTTTGTGATTAACATTCCTAGAGCTGAGCTCCCCAACTCTGCTCTTCCTTGTCCAGTGAGTAGAGAGCTCCTCAAGAAGTAGAAGCCCAGTTGTTCCTCAGGTTACTGCCATGATTGATGGAATACCCCCTCCTAGAACACACAGCTCACGATTACTTAGGAGGAGAAAACAGAAGCGAGGTATAAAAAACAGAAAAAAAAACAAAGATGCAACCAAACCCAAATCTGTACAGTCAACTAGACAGTAAGTTCTGCACATACACAAACCATGCCTGAACCTGAGCCACCCAGCTGTCTCCCACAACTGAGAAGCAACTGAGTCATGAGCAAAAAACAAGAGAACCCTCAAGAGAAAAAGAAGCAGGGAGGGTAATAAAAATGGGAAAAGAAATACAAGAAACAATGGAACAGGCATTATTTTCCCTGAGGCTCAGCTTCTGGACATCTCAACTCTAATTTGAAGAACTGCTACACATGAGGATTCTTTCAAAACCCACAACCAAACCCCAGGATTTTAGGTGTTACCATCTGTTGCTGAGGGTAAGGGAGTAAATTAGAAGCTCAGTAGGAAATTTTGCATATAGCTCTTTTGCCATGTTAGCTGGAGAAGCTTATATTGTGGATCAGGATTTCAGCTCTGCTAATGACTCACTCAGTGGCTGATGGTGTACTGCTCTAGACTTCAACTCCAGGAATCTGGAAGTTGCACAGATTGAAAAACAATATATCACATTAAGGTTAAATAATCAAGAGTCAAAAAAAAAAGAAGATCTAAGATAGAATTCTTTGGTACAATTATAAGTGCTACAGGGGAAGGAACTCAAATTGCTCCAGTTCTAGCATTTTCAGATATTAATGTACTCAATCTGAAAAATCTTTTGCTTTTCTCTAGGAACCCTGGTTTCCTAAAGCATACCAGTAAGTGAGCAACAGAAGTTATCTGAAACTACAAGTAGCAACCCTAAATCTAATTAGGCAAGTAATTAAACCATGCAAGCCCAACACGAGATGCTTTACCTACCAGTTACAGTGTTTATCCCATATTTGTATTCATATACAAGCCTACAGAATCACATTTGGCATTTCTGTTAGAATAATTAGGAGATACTTTCTTACTATCATCCCTTTCATAGCAGACATGATCATCCCAACCATATGTATTAGGGATGAATATATTCAGCCTGGAGAAGAGGAGACTGAAAGAAGACCTCATCACAGTTTACAACTTCTTCATGAGGGGAAGAAGAGGGGTCTTCCCCCCTTCACCACCTCTCTGTGGTGACTAGTGACAGGACCCAAGGGAATGGTCTGAAGTTGTGTCAGAGGAGGTTTAGGTTGGATATTACAAATAGGTTCTTCACCCAGAGGGTGGTTGGGCACTGGAACAGGCTCCCCAGGGAAGTGGTCACAGCACTAACCTGACAGAGTTCAAGAAGCGTTTGGACAATGCTCTCAGGCACGTGGTGTGACTCTTGGGGATGGTCCTGTGCAGGGCCAGGAGTTGGACTCAAGGATCCTTGTGGGTCCCTTCCAACTCAGCATATTCTGGGATTCACAAGACCAAGAACAACATGTTTCACCCACCTACCAAAAAACAATTCCCAGGTGGAGAACTACTGCAGTTCCCCCCAAATGACACTCTCAACTCTGCCCTCACACCTTCAGGGCTTCCTAGCTTACTTGTTCTTTACACAGGAGAGTATTTACCCAACTGGCAGCAACACCCAGCACGATTCCAGTTGGACTTCTTTGCTGGAGACACTTCTGTGCTCCTCACTTCTACACAAGGCCTTTCCTTGCTGTCACCAGGGTGCTTCACAGATAATCTTCCCAAAGGGAGGGAAGTACACTGGACAAAAAAGGAAAACAAAGAAACAGGAGAAAGATACTACTCTAGATTACATCCTTGTATAAATTCTCTAGTTTTAATTAACCAGTTTCCATTACAAGTATCCCTACTTTAAAACACACAGAAGGCTGAGAGAATGAGCTAGCTTAAAATAACACAGCTATTCATCCCCCAGGCTAATAAATTTTCAAGCATTTCCCTCTCAGGCTGTTTATCAGAGATGGGTATTCTTTTCACCTTAATGCAAACATCTGTCCTCCACACATCATTAGGTTTTTTGGGTTTTTTTGGAGATGTACTGTACTACAGCATTTAACCCTTCTTCACATACATCTCTGTTCCTGCAGTAAACACGGCAAAGCCTGCTCATATTCTGAATCAAACTCCAGAGCTGGAGATTATGAGCCTGATTGATGCTGAGGCTGGTGGTGCCCACACATACACCTTTAGTGTGCTGGCACAAGCCAGAAGTGGAAGGCTGAAGTCCATCAGCGGGGACACATGAGAACTGGAGATGGGACTCTGGACTTCTGGGCGGAGTATTTGCTCTCCCACTCCTGAGCACAGATTGCAAGAAGGAGCACTCAATGCAACAAGTGTTGAGCAATCCTACTAAGCAGAGATTTTAAACAGTGAGTAACATCATGTGCAAAGGAAAACACCTGAAAGATGCAGTCAAGCAGCAGAAATACAACAAAATTGTAGAAAACAGCATTCCTTTACACTGTCAGGAAGCAAAACTAATTTTAGGATATGTTAGTAGCAATAGCCTACGTAAAAAATACTAGAGAACCTCCCTGACTCACCAAGAGCTGCAAGGTCTCTGAAGGAGTTGCAGCCCACTCAAGCACCACACAATGCAAGCTGCTGAGTCTAGAGAAACAGGGTCAGAGATCCCACTTCTCCTGGGTTGCTCTGGAAGAGCATCACTTGCTTAGTCCAACAAGGAGCAAGCGGGAGGGAGACACTGACAGAAGTTTTCTAAATTACCAACTATAAATAGGATTGATGACTAAAGGGAGACAGCTAACTTTTTTACTAGAGAAAATTCAGGATGGATACTTGGAAATGTTACATGGCGAATGGGAAAAGAAAAAGCCACACACACTGGAGAAGCACTCCTGGGAAGTTCAGAGAGGATTAGGACACCAGCACCAGCTTGTTCTCAAAACCACTCTTCAATGCATAACCCTTCAGAAGCACTTTGCAAACAGCCATACAAAAAAAACCAAAACATGCTCCGAGTTCAGGCTGCACATTTCACTTGAGCTGTCACGATCACGAGTTAGTTACAAGCAAACTGGCAAATTTTCACATGTTCTTAACATTACTTTCTAGGTTGATGAGTGCCATGCTTTATTTCACACATGGGTAGAAGTGTTTGTGTAGAATTCAGAATCAAGAACAAGGCCAGAAAACCTTTCCAATGGATCTGAAGTGCTGAAGATGATAAATCCCTGAATAAGTGATTCTGCTAAAGAACAAGAGAACTAAAAGCTTTTCCTAAAGCTTTGCACACACCAGCCAAGCACTTGCATGCAGGGAAAACTGGGAGTTGGGCAGAGCCTCTCCTCTCACAACCTGCAAGGAGAGCAGGTTGAATTCCTTTCGCTTCCCTACTAACTACACTGTCACCACACATAGCACTAGTGTTGCACAGTGATTTGTGCAACAGTGATTTGTGCAACAGTGATTTGTGCAAC